CCCTCCCCCCAGCAGACCAGGGAGACGCGAAGCGGCTTTTCTCAGCAGACACCTCAGCTTGAGAATAAAGGCCTGAGGGAAGTGAGGTGTGGGAGAATAAAACTGAGCTCTGGAGAAATGTTTGGCTAGAGTTTCCCCTACAATATGTACCAGTTCCGACTTACATACAAATTCAGCTTAAGAACAAACCTACAGTCCCTATCTTGTATGTAACCCGGGGACTGCCTATACTGTATTAAACTCTATTAACACCACACTAACAGCCGCCACTTTTAAGACAGACAAAACAGTGAGCAGCATCGGACAAGGTGAAAGAGGCTTACACGTAACACAGCCTGCTTCAAAGCCACCTGAGGCCTGGTCCCTCCCCTGTAACCTACAGAAGGCATTCCCACAGCCAGTCACCACAAAGCAGCACCATACACGATACTCGGCTTACCAGCAGATGTATTTGTGACTCCATTCACTGTCCCTTCCACGTCCGTCTCATCCTCAGCATAGCTCAACATTAGGGCTCGCTGGCGATCTGTCAGCCTCCTGCAGGTCAGAGCACAGTGTTGCTATCTCAGTCAGTATTCACAATAGGGATGGATGCCTTTGCAACCTCAACTCAGCTTCCCACCAGACAGCACGCAGGAGAGGTGCTCCTGATTATGAAAAGCTAATAGAACTCTCTGAGATTAATTCAGAATCTCAGTAACCTCTTAACATGAGCATCCGAGACAGCAATAAGCCTTGTAACGGGAACCTAGGGGATCAGGGACAATTCTGGCCACTGCATTTCATAGGACTGCAAAAGAGTAAGTCAAACATTTGAAAGGGTTGAAACTGAGAAGACTCAAACTGGGAGCTACAGAATGATAGCAGAGGAGCACTGAAAAACAGAGTTCCCAGCTGAGTGCACGGGACACAAACAGCGTCTTCCAAGTTTGACAGTTTACGCTGCAACAAGCCTATGACTGGCTCAGAGGATCAGAACAGGTTTAAGAGCCCAAGAGGGTCAACTCATCCTTCGGAGGCCGTGATCCTCAGACTTCAACGGCTCAGGAGCTAAATTCATTATCAATATTACCCAAAAGAGCCAGTTGTGTGAATTCACGGGTCCATTTACTACATGCTCATATTGAAACAGTAGGACAGGAATGGTTTATATTATTCCCACAGCAAATAAGTTAATAGCTTAGTGCAAGTTGATAATTTAATTGGTTCATAAACCAGTGAAAGCATCCAGACTGGTTAATAACTTTGATTGGACAGTAATTAAATCACAGTGTGTTAATATCATGTGCTGCGCAGAGCCGCCGGAGACACAGTAAGAGAGCCACTTGCAGCTCCTGAGCGCAGGCCTAGTGTGAAAGCTAGGCCAGCGTTTGCTGAGTACCCGGCCTCGAGAACAGTCACATAACTACAGTTTCATTTTTACTTGCCACAATTAAGTTTAATGGATGTTTTTGTAATTAAGTCTCTAATCCTTATGGCTAAAAGAACCATCCAAATGTGATGGGAGTGTAAACCAATGCACTGGTCTGTGAATCTGCCAGAAGCCTGAAACAATTCCAAGAGGTGGCAACTGTGCTATTCCTGTCAATGGGAATGTTAATAGTAAGTCAAATGAGAACTCACATTACAAACATTAACTTCAGTTACTGATTATTCTAGAAAAATCCAGCAAATGCGGCCAGCCCAGTCCCTAGCCTATGGCAGGTCCTACAGGGCTGGAGCAGCCCCCTTCTCCAGGGGGTGGCAGCCCACCACCGGTTAACCCTAATGAGTAAGCCTTACAGGTTAAAGGTGAGGCTTACCAGTTAATCATTAACATCCCTACATACTTTGCCACACAGAACAGTGCCTCCAAAATATTTGGAGTAGCAAAGTATTTTTGGCTGAGACATTCATATTCTTGCAACGGAACCAGTACATTAAATTCTCATGCTGTGAGATCTTTAATCTATACACTAAATCAGTGCAGTTTTCTGGTTAAAAAGGAAAGCCTATGGTTCAATGAAAGATACAGTAACACAGAAGTTGGTTTATTCGCTATTTTATCTAGGGTTCAAAGCATATGTCAATAAAGTAGTGAAGATCTTTCACATGAATATCTCCTGAGAACAAATTCTGCACAAATTTCTACAAGAGAAATTCTGTAGACTTTTCAATTCTTAGTAGACTTTCTACTTACTTCGGAATCCTGATCTTTATATGAATGTAGTGGTCTCCATAACCATAACTGTTAACCCGGGAAATGCCTTTCCCACTCATTCGTATCCTCTGGTCTGCTTGAATACCTGGCGGTATCTGTAAATACAGAGACCTGTGTTTATAATGCTCTTCAATAGCAAAGTGCCAGCATGGAACCCTACTTACATCAGAGACATCACACCTTTATCACGGATTGGTCACAGCATAAACAGCAAATTTCACATATGTGTTTATGTCATAAGCAACCTTCACTTCTACACTGCTGCTGGCAGTGGCATTGCCTTCAAAGCTGGGCACGCAACCTCCAGCTGCTGCTCTCCAGCCGTCAAGCTCTGCAGACAGTGCAGAAGGAAGGATTGCAATACCGCAACCCCCCCGCCCTCCCCCAATAAGCCCGAGAACCACTTTTGGGGCTCTAGTTTGAGAAGTGCTGTGCACATTGTATATTTAACCCTACAGTATAGGGTAAAAGTACATAAGAGACCAGATTTCATAGTCTGTGATGAGTATTTCATGGCCATGAATTTGGCAGGGCCCTATCTATAAATTAATCAAGCTATTCCTCTGTAAGGGGGGATTTATTTCTATGTTTAGATACCTAGATAGCACTCAGGTATTATACAATAGTAATGAAAAAGCATTCCACACTGAGAATTAACGCAAACAGCCTACTGAGGACAAATCTACACCGGAGCGCTTTGGCGGTAAAGGTACAGCTATATCACTACAGAATAACAGACACTAGAACCGGAAGGGCCCTCAAAAGGCCATCAAGCCCAGACCCCTGCACTCAACAGGACCAAGCACCATCTAGAATCTAGATCTTCCCTGATAGATGTCTAGCCAACCTGCTCTGAACTATCTCCAGCGATGGAGATTCCACAACCCCCCGAGGCAATTTATTCCAGTGTTTCATGGAACATCACCTCCCTGAACAAAGTGCTATGCACATACAAACTAAGAGCAAGAGTGCCTGTAAGCCGATGGGATGACAGAGCAGAACAGGCAGGAAAGAATCACACATACACAAACCCTGGTTGGCAACGTTAGCCCAAAGGCGCGTCAAGGACTTTGCCAGGACCTGCCCAATGATCTGTCTCTTCAGCCCTTTGAATTCTTATGCAGAGGCAAAGGGAAAGGAAGCGGGAATTATCCTTTGCATGAAGGGCCCGAGCAGAACCCCTGCAATGAGTCCTGGTGGCCTTAAGAGGCCAAGACCAGAATGGCCTGGTCTTGATATCTGTAATCATAGGAAGTTTGCCCTGTATTTTTTTACTCTTCCTGAAAACAAAGAATGGCCTCCTACTGTCCCAAACTAAGTTACCTCCTAGCTCCTCCAAGCACTATTACCACGTACCATGATATTGATGGTCTCATACAGACCCTGAGTTCTGGCTGTACCTCCAAGCACTGCCTGTGCTATCGAGATAAAGAGGTCTGAGTGTATATCTGCTCCATCTCGTCTGAACACAGGACTTTTCTGAACCTAAAAGCAAACAGTTCAAGAGTAATGAGCATGGGTCATGACTGTACAGTACATGCATCATTCCCAGATAAAAGACTAGATTAAGTTGTTATAAGCTAATATCACTAATTTTAGGAAAAGTCTTACCTCGTATCCCCTAAAAATTACATAGCAGGAAACCCCAAATTAAAGTTATCCTTAGAAACTAACCACAGACATTAAATATTAATATAGGTTGAACCTTCCTAGTTGGCACACTCTGATCCGGAAACATCCGTCAACCAGAATAATTTCAGTTAGCTGGATGTCCACTTATGGGTGTGGCCAACTTTCCCGTGGTCCCATAAAGTTTGTTTACAGACACTAATTCTGGCTCTCAGTGTTGTGTGCTGTTGTTTAGCTCTAATTTACCCCTAGATGTCCTCTTAACAACCCAGTAAGGCGTGGAAGTGTTGGTAATGCTGCCAAACAATATTGACTTTGCATGGTCTGGAAAATTCTCTGGTTTGGCACTGGTCAGGTCCCAAGGGTGCCAGACTAGAAAGGTTCAACCTGGAGCTGAAGCAGGCCTCTCTTCTGAAGAGCGATACCAAAGATGGCATTAAGAGGTTTCATGTTTCCTGTTGCAAAGAATTCCCCCCAATTTTTCAGTTTACATGAAAAAAAATTAACTGCTAAGGCTGGATACTCAGCCTCAGATCTGAGTGCACCACTGTGCTCTTCTTTGCTTGTCAGCCATCATCAGTAAAGATTCTTTGGAGGGTAGAAAATGAGATTGTCCTATGGACTGGCTTGGACAATGGAATGTCAGAGGGGAAGAAAGTACCCTCAGCATTTCATAGTACAGTAAAACTCCAACTGTCCGGCATCCAACGATCCGGCACTCCTGATGGTCTGGCACCAACTGGAACCCGGAAGTGCTCCAGCCAGCCGGACAATTGGAGCTGCTCTGCCCCCGGCTTCCCCAAGTCCGCCACTGGTCAGTTTCAGCAGCGGCTGACTTGGGGAAACTGGGGACAGAGCAGCTTCGGTGCTGCCGGATTGGTCCCGCAGCGCTGCCCTCTCCCACGCTTTGCAGTTCCCCGCCACCCCCCCACCCCCCACACTCCACCCCAGACCCCTCATAACCCCCCTTCCAGTCCTCCGGCATATCTGATAATCCGACATCCCCTGGGTCCTAAAGGTGCCGGCTTATCGGAAGTTTACTGTATCTCTCTGGCAGTTCTGATGACTGCATTTTACAGGCTCTGGAGAGGTGATAAATCCTTGAGGAAATTTATGAAAAAATGGGGGAAGAGATCAGTGTTGAAGAGGCCCTCAAATAGAGGAATAAAACCTTTTACATACTAGGGTCTATAATTTTATTCTTGACACAGACACGATTCAGATGATATACCTAGGTAGAGGACTTGTGTCTGCAAAGAACATGTAAAACAGCAGTGGACTGATTTTTAAAGAGGACATTTTAACTTTCCAATTCAGCACCTCAGAACTGCAATCCTGCAGTGTCTTCAGGGATTCAGAACACCTGCGCCCATGCCAGCTACTACTGTGTTAGGACATTACTTCCAGGAATTCCAGTTACCAGAGACAGTAATTTCCCATGGAGCTTGTAAGTTATGCACTGTATCCTAGGACTGACCTCCCTATCTGTAGCAGGGCATTTCTGTTGTCCTAATAATATTTCCCCACTTGCTAGGAGGCAGGCTTTTCACAAGCTCAGAAAACTGGAAGGGCAGCATCACTTCAGCCTGGCAAGATGTCCTTCCAGCTCAGTCCCGTGGTTACACTGACAGGAGATAGGTTACCAGCAAGCTCCCCTCCCTGACAGAAGATGGCCCAGAGTAAGTGGTGTGGTGTCAGGCGGCATACATACCCTGAACGTAATGAAAATTTCTTTTTTTCCTACGGGCATGCGAACAGTCTGTCCATCCTCCACACCTGCAATCACAATGTGATGAACATTACATTGTCTGTCTGATAGTTTGCTCTGCATCTTATGTACCAAAGCACCTACAGCCTTCCAGTCTAACCCAATGCCTGGACAACTACAACTGGTTCAGCCAATGCCAAAGCAGTACTTCCACCATCCAGGAAGAAACACCCATCTGCACCCTCACATTGCAATCCTGCCGTGCCCCTCCCCATTAACATCCGCGTCCTCGTGCTGGGATCCCCTGCCTGGGGTAAGCAAAAGTGAAACCCACCGGTCCCTCCCCACTGGCTGCAGAAGCATGTCAGCTTGGACAGCTCCCTGACCAGCGTGGTCTGCATTGTGGCAGAAGCCGGTTTTCCAGGCCAAGCAGTGCCCTCTGCAGCTGGGACTATATGGGCGCTGCAGGCCTGATCCTCCTGGGAGCCAGGTGTGTGGTGCGTCCTTGCACACCACCCACCTATTCTGCCCCCAGCAGCCGTGTGGGCCTGATTATGTAGATTTTTCAAAACGTGTTGTGGGCCAGATTGGGGAAGTGCTCAAGCTGCCAATGGTCCCCAGGCCTGGAGCTTGAGACCCCTGCTCTAGAGGCATGATACATGCTCAGTTGAGTTTCACATGGGAAGAGATACACAGCAGGCCTGTAAATACAGACACTGACCTGCTGGTACAGGGACCATCACATTCTTCTTCTGTTTGGTTTGCCCAGAGCCGCGACACAACGCACATGGTGTGGTCATGACAGAACCGCGACCTCCACATCGCCGGCATGTAGAACGCATCACAAAAGGCCCTGTATTTATTGTCTCCTACAAAAAAAAAAAAGAGAGAAGAGGGATTAGAGGAATCCTTTGATAATACACAAGCATTATTCGTTACTCAACATGCAAGACAATGAAGAAGATGCAAGACAATGGAGAAGCAGACAGCAAATCTCTTATTCAGCGGAAGAAACCACTCCTCTAGCAGCTTAAAGTGGATAGAGATCTCTGGTCATTCAGTTTTTGTTTCAAGAACCAGCTGCAATACAATCACAAAAGACTATATGCATCTCAGCCATCTGATTCCAGACCAAGACACACAATGTGTACTTCTACACAACCTTAAATGTGTTTCACATTTTAACCCAAGACACTGTAACTCTCCTACCAACCCTCACTCTTGTAACGAACAGACAGAGGATGCCAATCTGCAATAACGCACTAAATATTATTTCAATACCAAGAGAGCAACACTGAAGACAAAAACATAGCAGACTATAGAGATTATCAATGCCTCAAAAAGTGCTAGAAACATTGTTTGAACCCAGCTGTGCATAAACTATGGAAATGATTCAGCAGAAAAAATCTGGAGTTAGCAAGGTCTCTCAAAAGATAAGGCTTAGAAGTTTTGGGGGGAAAGCAAGAATTGGGCAGGAATAAAATTCAATTGACTGACTACATTTAACCCTCCTCACAATTGTTCCCATTTTTTTCTTTGGAGGTCACCATTAATAAAGCAGCGAATGGGTTTCTCAGAGTACAAGGAATGGGGGTATCTTTAGAATAATGACTGGCCTCTATCCAGAGAGATCAAAAGTTGTTCACGCTTGTTCTGGGTGTAAGTGAAAAAGTAATACCCAGGTCTCAGTCAGAAGGACAAGTATCTACATCAGACTTTGTACTTGGTCCAGTTGTAGAAAATCTTAGAAAAAAGTCCTGGAGACTGAACTTCCCCAGGGGTGATCCCTCATGGATTGAAGCACCAGAGGGAATCAGGGCATGGGAAGGGCTTGCCCTGGCATTGCTCAAGTGGTGTCTGTTCTGTGGAGCGGGGTTTCTGGCTCTCCAAGGCTGATGAGCTGCCCCTGCTACCAGTGCGTGTGGACACACACAGAAAGGGAGATACAGCCCACACTGAATCACATCCTTATTTAATGATCATTTCAGAAAGGCTCCTTTGAGTAAACACTAATTTGTCCTGAAAACCAGGGTTACACCTGAAAACAGCACTTACCATCCCAGTGCCATTGCAGTAGTGACAGTGCTGCACCTTGGTCCCCGGCTCATGCCCCTTGCCATCACACCGCTGACAAGCGTCATTGATATTCACCACGATCTCCTTGTTCACACCTTTTGCAGCTTGATTGAATGTCAACTCCATGACGTACTAGGTAAGAGAGGAACGGAACTGCAGCTGTATTCCATATGCTAGCAGGCTGAGAGCAAACTGAAATCACTTCGTTAAAAGTGGTCTCCACTCAGACTGACTGGAACGCTATTTGAAAAGCTCAGACACGGTATGGAAAAGAATTGATCCACCAGATTCAGTAATCATCTGCACAAAGAAATTCTCAAATTTCCCTTTAGGAACATCTTCATTCTATATACTCTGCAACACAACATGCACGTGCATAATGCCTTACCTCCTGTGGCTGGTCAAAGACACTCTGAAAGTCTCCAAAAGAGGATCCTGAAAATTCCCCAAAGATTTTCCTGAAAAGTTCCTCTGGGTCAATGGTGGGCCCGCTGCCCCAGTACTGGCGTCCAGCGCCTGCTGAGCCGGTGTCAAAGCCAGCAGTACCATAAGTATCATATTGCTTTCGCTTCACTTCATCACTTAACACCTATGGAGGAAGGAAGCACAGTCCCGTCAGGGCGTGCTCAGTACAGAACCAGAGCAGCATGGCTGACACTAGACAGAGTATTTACACCTCTGCACGTTCCAAGGTGAGTCAGAGGTCACATCCATCACAAGCAAACTATTGGCAACTACTACAGAATCCCAGCTTCAGTTCCTTTCTATGAGGACAGCTACATACTTTCAGTCACGCCAAAAGGTGACATGAGCACGGCAGAAGAAAAGCACTCTGTGTCTCTCATGTACACTGGATGGCAGTTAAGCTTAGAAGTATATGGTGAGTCCAAATAAGCACATTAGCTATAGGCAAAGTGATCAACCGCTCTGGGATCTTTTCATTTTTGAAGGCAAGCAAAAGTGGCTTTCAATTATATATACCATGCAGAGTGCAAGACTAGCGGGATGGGATGTAGCAAATGAAATAAGCCTGCCAGTCAAAATGAGTAAAATGTGGGGGGTTACTAATCCCCCATCCTCAAAAGGCCAATTATTGATGCACTGGTGATCTCCGTCCTTATATTGATCAACAGGCCCGCTCCAGTACCAGCTTTCCAATCTCTCACACCTACAACCAGTCAGTTTTGTTCTAAGGAATAGCACAGTGGCCCAAAAACAAGCTTGGAACAAAACAGTCAGGTACTGAAGAATATCCAAAACATTCTGGGGCATACACGCTCAAGTCTAGCAAACAATACTTTGTTGCCAATGAAGCAGTGACAGATATTTCTTTTACATGAGATCAGGGGAGGTATAATTTTTCAAGGCTGTAGGTCAGTTGTTCCATCCCACCCTCCCAGGTAACTGAGTATACATCAGTCACATCACCTCATAGGCTTCTGCCAGCTGAGAGAACTTCTCCTTTGCTTTAGGGTCATCCTTATTTGTGTCGGGATGGTATTTCTTGGCAAGCTAAGAAAAAATGAGCATTAGAAATGGAAGAGAAGTAAGTCCAAAGTTAGCACTGTTACTCAGTATACCTTACATGTCAGGGGAGAAACATTAAGCAGACCCAAACATTTTGGCTGTGTCTAAACTGGCAAGTTTTTCCGCAAAATCATCTGATTTTGTGGAAAAACTTGCCAGCTGTCTACACTGGCCGCTTGAATTTCCGGAAAAGCACTGACGATCTCATGTAAGACCGTCAGTGCTTTTCTGGAAATACTATGCTGCTCCCGTTTGGGCAAAAGTCTTTTTCCGAAAGACTTTTGCGCAAAAGGGCCAGTGTAAATAGCGCAGTAGTGTTTTCCGCAAAAAACCCCGATCACGAAAATGGCGATCGGGGCTTTTTTGCGGAAAAGCATCCTGCCAATCTAGACATGCTTTTCCGAAAATGCTTTTAACAGAAAACTTTTCCGTTAAAAGCATTTTCAGAAAATCATGCCAGTGTAGACGTAGCCTTCATGTTTACATTTTAGAGGAGACCAAAAGCATTTCCTAAGTAATTCTCTCCCCATATCAGGGACATAAAAAAGCCATTTCCTGGTATATTGGTACACTAATGATACTGAAAAGCTTTCCTGCTTAAGTGTGGACTGACAGGCTCTCTCATACACACAGGTGAGAACACCCCTTTTCTTCAAGAAGGTCCTGAACGTATGTGATGACAGATCAACAGCAATTATGGTTTTGCTGCTAACATGAAAATTTGCTTCCAGAAGGTTTCTAATAGGTAGGTGGAAGCTATTTTATTTTAAAAAGTCCATCTAGAAAGGTCTCTTCCCTTCAGCCAAATAAATGAACAAATAAATCATATGCACTGGCAACTGCCAAGACCACATATAGGACTATATGAACCGTTCTTCTGATTCTGCTCTATCACACATACGTTCCATTGGTAACCCCCGTGCCCTCCCTGCCATGTTGTCATTAACATAAGAGTCATTTCTGGAGCATTACACATAAGAATAAGATGAATGGGTCGTAACGCCATCTCCCCAACACCACTTTCATCACAGTGGTGAGCTTGGATTCCAAGAGGCATCTTTTCTTTGTTTTCCTTAGGTACACATGCCTGGTAATAGGCTTTCTTGATCTCCTTCTGGGTGGCATTTCGAGGCACTCCCAGTATCTGGTAGTAATCTTCTTTGGCGTAGGAAGGGGAACTGGTGTGAAATGAGGCAGCACATATTATAGGAGAGCATTTAGTTCCTAAGGGGAAAAAATAATTAAAAAAGAGAGTCAAGAAGAATCATAAAACACACATACCCCACCCCATCACATTGCCAAGACCATTTCTCTCATCACCCACAACCTACTAGTCTGTATCACAGAATTGCACACGCACACATGACCACCTTGACTGTAAGAGGTAGTAAGTTTAATTAAAGACAGGCACTACTTTGATTTTGAACTTGTGTGTTACTGAAATGCATAAGCAAATGCACACTAAGGGTACAGCTCCACAGCTTTTTGTGTTTCAGTAGAAGTCTGCAAATAGTGCTCCACATATGCATACTTCTTCCAGGTTTTTTTTCTGGAAAAGGTTTTTCCGGTATTTTGGGGAAAAACCCTATTTCGAAAGACCCCTTATTCCTCATAAAATGAGGTTTACAGGGTCTTTCGAAATAGGTTTTTTCCCCGAAATTTGGCCCCGCGTAGACAGGGCCAAATACCAGAAAAGCTTCTTCTGGAAAAAACAAACAGAGGACGTATGCAAATGCAGAGAGCTATTTGAAGACTTCTACCACAACAAAAAAAGCTGTGTAGCTGTACCCTAAAAGATGTTACTGAACCAATGACAATTCCAAGACCTACTAAAATGGAGACTAAGGGCTTCTCTTCACATACAGCGCTATACTGGTGCAGCTGCCTCGCTGGAGAGCTTTAGTGAGGACACTACTACACTGACAAGAAAGCATGTCTCCTCGGCATAGTTAATCCACCTCCGCGAGCTCTCCTCTCTACACAGAGAGTTAGTTCAGTGTAACTATGTCACTCAAGGGTGTGTGTTTTCCACATATTGGAGCAACGTAATTATACTGATATAGATCTGTAGTGCAGACTTGGCATAAGTCTTTAGAACGGTAACAGGTGGTAGCAACAGCTAGTAACAACAGCTTTAATTGTCACATGGATGATTTTGTGATTCCAAATAGGAGGAAAAGTAGTTTGTGTGGCTGTAAACTGGTGAGGTAGCCCAAGAAATATTTAACATGTAATGCACCCTACGAAAAAAACTGAGAACCTACATAATTCTACTAGGCCTAAGGGCAGGATATCTAGTCACTAATATAAGAGTGTTGTCCAAGTAACAATCATCTTCTCTACTGCTCCTTCCTAGAAGGATCTGAATTCCATTAATCTTCACAGGAGTTCTAGGGGATGGAAGTAGTCTTCCTGGACATTTGTGTCTGCATCGATGGAGAGATCATCTGCAAAAAGACATGACTTGCACTGTGTTTTAAAATATGAAACTCATCCTGCTCTCTTGTGAAATAATTCTATTGGCAGGGTTCCTCTACCTGACTCCCGAGAGCTCTAATCTAGACTATACCAATTGCTTCATCTGCATTATACAGTTCACAGGCTGCTCAGAAAGGTGCTCCCCGAGACAGACAGACTGAAGGTCACAAAGGGATTTGAGGACAACCAGGCCTTAAAAATGATCTAGGACTCAACGAGAATTGGTGCAGCGCATGACAGCAATTGGTTTTCAAGCATCTATTCCCCTCGGGATAAGGGCAACTGCACGTGACTTGCAGAAGCTTCTGCATGACTCCCACAGCAAAGCGAGGCACAGCACTGCACCCAAAGGCATGGATCATCACTAGCAGATTGTCTGAATGGGACAAGCACAATCTTCTCACAAGTTAGAAAGAAACATTTTTTATCACTACTGCAATCTGGTTAGCTAGACAGACCACACAGAGTTGGATTGATTGTGCACCCCTTCAACACCCTGGGGGCCTGTGGTGAGATTCCACTCCGCTCTGAAAACAATTTATCCTCAAGCTAAAGCAGTTTCCTTCCCAATGACATTGCTGTTAGACAAGTTGGAAGCAGAGCTCTCTCTTGATGTGCTGGGCCAGACCTATGGAGCAATGTAGCATGAAGCGGACTTGGGATAAAGGTGGAAGCTGGCGTGCAAAGCACGATGACCAGCTTTCCCCTTGCTGGAGAGGGAACCAAATTGGCTTCCCTCATTGGAAAGCTATGAACCCACCGTTAGGCCCTACGCAATACAGGCCACTTGCCTAGGGGATGGGCACCCCAGAGCCCATGGGTAAGGAACAGAAGCATCACAGCACTTGCCACAAGAGCAGCACGAAAGGACCCTGTGCAAGACTGACAACCTGAGCACGACTTCCCCTTGCTGGAGAGGGAACCAAATTGGCTTCCCTCATTGGAAAGCTATGAACCCACCGTTAGGCCCTACGCAATACAGGCCACTTGCCTAGGGGATGGGCACCCCAGAGCCCATGGGTAAGGAACAGAAGCATCACAGCACTTGCCACAAGAGCAGCACGAAAGGACCCTGTGCAAGACTGACAACCTGAGCACGACTTCCAGGGC